TCTACCACAAGTGTACTGAGGATAAAAAGAATGAGCAGGGCAATGAACATGTGGTAGATGGTCCTGATGTGGTTCACCTCAAACAGCTCACTGTGAGGAAAAACAAAAGACTGAGTAACTGTGAAGTCAACAAACCATCTTTCAACAGCACCGTCGCAGACACGAGTGATAAAGTATCCAGACTGCATCAACTTACTCCAGGAGGGATCTGCGGCTTACAAACAGCTTTCCCTCACCGTGAGGAGGACGAAAGTGCCTGCAGAAAAACACAGTGATGAGCTGTCGTCTTTTTAACACGAGAGTGGGAAGTAGAAGGGCATTAGCATCTGCTGTAACCAAACGCCAGATGCAGCTTTTCATTTGGTAGCATAGTAAGCTGCAGTACCTGAGTTTGCTCCGCTCCTTGTCTGACATTGGAGGTGAAAATACAGCAGGTACCGGTGCGGGCTCCAGGCTGGTCGATTCCTCAATAAGACTGTCCATAAAATCATTGACCTGCGTGTCAAACTGACGCATCAGGTCACTCTTCAAGTACTGGGCAACAGAAAAGGACACGGAAATTGTTATTAAGTAACAAAATATAGAAAGTCTGTGCCAATAATTATTTTCTTTCTGTATATGCAAAATTAGTTTCTCACCTTACAGCTACTTTTAACGACTGATTTTACATATTATAAATATGCCCTCACCAAGAGTGGATTTACTGCACCGTTGACTGCATCTTAAATTCAAACCCAAGTTTGTGCACAAAAGCAACAGCTCTGCGTTATCATTATGACACATTCAGTGCCTTTTATCGCTGCGTTTTAAACACACAGCAAGTGTGAAAAACATTAGAGACATAGCTTGCAGTGTTGTCCAGCGTCTAAGTGTGCGATGTTCTTATTCAACCTTTAAGAGGTCTGAATTGATCAGAATACTTGCTCAAGCATTTCAGGGGGGGATCAGATGATGTTGATCATTCTAGCAAGGATTCACATTTGCATGGTTTAAATGATGAATGTAACAGAAGACATCAAATAAATAACCGCAGGGATGTCCTGGCCCAGGTTAATGACCAGAAATACATCAGCTGCAATAAATCCACTATTGCTCACATTTCCCTTCGTACACTTTTAAGTAAGCAATTAAAAAAAAGCCCCCCCCCCCAAAAAAAAAAGACATGATGTTGAGTCATTTCTTAAAGAAACGACTAACCTCTGCTTTCTTTTTCAGTTGTAGTTTTTTGCTGATGACGTGTTCCACTTCAATCCTCCCTGAAATTGAATGAGACACACATATGTTAAAAAAAAACAACAACCCCAAAACATATGTGTAATCTTCTTATTTTAAACTGTAGTTCTGTTTTTTGGGCACAGCAATTAGCAATAGTGTCAGTTAAATCAATCATGTCATCTGTACAAAACTTTCCTATCAGTATCAGTAATAATATCTGTATTTTGACACTGAAAATGGCAGTAAAATAAATAAAATGGTATAATGTGGGTTTGGTTACTGTGTTGTAAAATGCTACAGTCTGTGACATAGCAGAAGTTACATCATACAAGTCTTCAGTCTCCAATCCAAAGTTGCAAAATCCAAACGGAGACACACCTATGACAACATGCAACAAGTACAATCACATGTCCTGTGGCCGGAAAGCTAAGCAAATGCAATTAATTGTGGTCAAGGTTACTGTAGGTCATTAGGCTTTACAGCTGTCTGATGATGAATAGGTTTGTTTACTTTAACTGAGGTCAGGCACACAAATGACTTTAAGCACAGTAGCTTTCCACCCATCACGCAAGAAAAAGTCAACAATATAGCTGACGTTGTCACAAAGACGTGCATTGTATTATCATGCTTTGTATTTAGCTCTTTCGTAGAAGCATACAAAGAACTAATATAGTCCCGAGGTAGGTGTCAGACCAGTATTTCATTTCTCACCTTTACATTTTGTCTTTACTGGATCATCATGACTAACTTGGGCGTCATTTGCCCGGGTTAACCAGAGATCACGATGATTGCTTAAGAGGAACTAGTCACACATGAAACTTTCAGTTAGTCATACTTTTGACCCAAGAGGGGAAATTTACTGAAACGATGATTTTTGAGCTGTTGAGTCAACAGATTCACTGTATCAGAGGTCACTGCCCTCTCGGCTGGCCCCACTAATGAGGGAGTTGAGATTTTCTCACCATTGCTGGTGATGTGGTTGTCTTCACTGCTTTGCTGTCCTTTCCCCGGACTGAGCTCCCCATCCAAAGAGCTTTTCAAGTCAGGGAAGGTAGGCATCGTGGGAATGGCTCGGCTGCGGAGCCGGAGAATAGCGTCATCCTCGCTCTCCATCCTACGGAAGCAAATAGGTTAATCATTAAAACAAGGGAAAGAACCGGCGGCAGCTCTTGAACAAACGAGACAAGCCCTGAGAACACACAAGGAAGACAAGCTAGCACATCACTGCTGTGCCACCTAACATCGATGCTGATATTGACTGACAATACAAACCCAGTGGGCAAACACATCACTCTCACATGACACGGACACGCAGCTAGCACATGAGTTAGCTCCCGTCCAGCTGGCATCAAGCCTCTATGAGACAGGCAGCGGCTAATTCATGGAGCTCGCTGAACTACATCGCTACCTGGGTTAATATCATACACCGCCAGCACTAACTCTGATACTAACTCTGCCCGTTGACGCTCGCGGATATTGTTAGCATGCAATACAAGCTTTACTAAAGCTAGTCAAACTAGCCAACTTGATGTTTTATCGTCCGCTCCTGCGGGACGGGTTGACCGACACTGACAGAAATGTACAAATGCGGGCAGCACAATTTCCTGAATACCTACTCGTTTCAACCGCCAGGTCCTCTCTTCTCAAGCCTCTCTCTCTGACGTTAATGAGAGCGAACCCAGATGTGAAACTCCTCTAATCACCACAACCCGAGCAGCTGCTCACCTTCCCCATTCTATAAACACTACAGAAGATGAGCAGCACCCACGATTCTGATTGGTCGAAAGTCTCTCCTCCTTTTGACGTCACCGACGCTAAACTGCTGACCAGCGCGGTCAGACTCTCAAACGTCACCCGCTTCGTAAGAAATGTTATTAAAAAACAAACAAAACGGTTATATTTTTAATGATTAACAAATAGATAAAACATAAATGGAGCGATGTATTCCTGCTGCAAGCTGAAGTAATTTGTCTCGCAGTTTAATTAGATTCAAAATAAAAATCTTATTATAATAGATTATAATGTATGTCTTTTCCCGAACTCCTCTTACACGCGTTAATCATTCTTTAACCAGTGGTGTGCTACACTGTGAAGTACATAAATACACAGCAAGTATTACTGATACATTTAGCCTATAAAGACAGTTTATGTAGGGGAGAACGTGTCATGAATTATGAGATGAATGTCATTAATATGGGGAATGTTTGAGGTATATTTTTATATATCAAAAAAACAAAAAACAAAAAACAAAAAACCAAACCAAAATTCATTTACCACAATTTAGTGTGCTACATCCTAAACTTAAAGGATAGAAACAAAGTACTGGTCCTAATGCACTAGTATCGATACCAATGCCAGCGCTGGTATCGTGGTAAATTGACTGATTCTTATTTAGCGTTTTTCTGTTCTCGTGGAGCACTCAGAGGGCTTTATACAACATAAAGACACCCATTCATATCTTCTATGCTTCAAAGCTTCAAAGCTAACATTCACACACATTTAGTATCTTGCCCAAGGATACTAAATGTGTGGCATGCTGGGGGAGCCAGGGATTGAACCACTAACCTTCCAATCAGTAGATAATATTTGGATCCACCCACCTGTAGACAAAACTCATTATATGGATCATATATATAAACTGCCCGGGGTAGCAGGATTATAAAATTAACCATCGGGATTTCTTTTTCTAACACTCAAATCCTTAAAAAAATGATGTGTGGTAGCTGATCTCAGAACAAACGGCGACATTACCTGTACGTTGTTGTCTGTAAATACATTTAGCAGCTACTTTTAGTGCAGTGGCATTCCCGGGGTCACTGGGATGTGCTGTCATGCATAGCTGTAAATAAGTGTTCATCAAACAGTGACGATAATTGTAGGTCTGACTGATTGTATTGTCTGAAACAACGAATATGTAGCTTGCAAAGAAGAAGAAGAAATATATGTATTTGTTATTTATTTCTTTGGTGTTTCTGAACAGCTGTTCTTGCTGCCTGCTGTATAGGTCTGCTGTTATATAATGAACATGAAAAGAACTTAACTAACTTAATAGACATGTTATTGTTTTTTTTTTTTTTACATTTTAAAGTCAGCAAGTACAACAAGCCTTCAATGATGCCATCCATAAAATGACTTAAAAATATACTTCAGCCTTTGAAGATGACCATATCCTAACACACTAGAGGTGTGGCAGTCTTTGTGTGGGACAATGTAGGTTAAAGCTCTGGCATTGATCATTTGAAAGTCAAATATACTGTATTGTATTTCAGTGCAGTTTTCCTAACTTATAAATACACTAACAAATGAAGAGAAATTGTAAGCTAAAGCTTGTTTTTATTGTAATCTGTCCACTAATCTGTTCCCTTTGTCCTTCCCTTCCATTTGCCAACAAGCCAAACCTGTAGCTGTCTGGTAATCACCAGGTTTCAATAGTGAAAAAACAATTCTGTGAACTAAAATAAAATATGAATATAGGAAACAACTCTAGTTTTAGTATTGATCAATTTGGTAAGTATTGCCCGATGAGGTTTTTGATGGATGTGTTAATTGAGACTTTGGATGTCTACAGGACTGTGAATCACCTGCTTTCAAAAAGTTCTGTTTTTATTTTAATAGCAACTGATTTTCCTAAATCTGGCCTCTAATATTTGCCCTAAATACCGTAATACAAAAAAAATATTATTAGTAATTGTAAAAGTCTTAAAACGTAAACTAAAACTAAACATTTTCAAACAATAAACAATACAATGAAACAAGAAAACCTATGTTTGTTGAATTAAAAAGAAATTGTCAGAACAAAATAAAAACTAATCAAAAAACAAAAACTATACAAATTCTGACAGTGGATAAGAGTGCGGTGCAGTCTAACAGTGAGACGTCTGGTCACTCATCCACCTTTTCAAGTCATGTTTGTTGGTATTTTGCTTTAATGGTTCTTACTTCTCTCCAGAAATACAAAATATCCACACAGTAAACCCACCACACCTTTCGTTATGTACCATGAATCAAAACATATTTCTAGGAAGAATAGGCTGTTTTTAGGAGAAACGTTTACAATCAGACAGAAGCATGGTTTATCAGTATGTTATTTTTACTATTTTTATGCTACATGTTTTTCTTTTTTATCACACTCCACATCTTTACACTAAGTTCACAGGCCTAAACAAGCAAAGATATGCTAAGTTATAAAGACATTTTATGGGAAATATTCACAAGATTTTGTTTTGTAAATTACTGTCCCATTCATTTAAAAGACAGTTTTGGAACCCGTGTGCAAGTTAAACGCGTTTTTGATGGAGCGCCTCTAAGTAGAGCGTGACATGCTGTCAAACCTTCATATAACTGGTCTCATGAGCCTACTGTGGCAAAACGGTTAATTTCAAAGAGACAACAAGACATTCACTGTATCAGACATCATAAGGATGGTGCATATAACCATGGATCTTCCTGTGGTCTGTGAATTAGGACACTGAGAATGGAAGAATTTCCCAACAGGCTTGTTATAAAAGACATGTTGTGTCTCTCTATGGTGAACCCAGCCAGAGTCAGCTGCCATACTCCAGCCACTCTTTCTTCTCCCAAGAATATTAACATTTGTTGACATCACTGCACTCGGATGGTTGAGAAGATGCAAACCTGTTCACAAACCAGTGCTTCTACAATACTGGGAACGTAGGAACGTGGCACTAGGCCTAGAAAACATCAACACAATTACTTAGTTTTTACTTTGTAACTATTTGAAGATTACCCCTTACTGTGTGATGTGCGCAGGCTCAGTACAAACAAAACAACGGGCTCTGTTTCATTCAGAGCCATTGTTTTATTTTGATAGTGCGGGACGACATTCCCCTGAGTTGAGGACAAAGTAAAAAACGAAGACTTTTAGTGTAAATACAAAGTTATAAGTCAAACTGAACTGAACATTTGATGCTACATTTTCATAACAAAAATGTTTCATATGTCAAAAATCTAACAATTTTACAATTGAATAAATATACAGCAAAATACAAAACTGAGCACTTTTATTTGATTATTCATTTGAAATATACATATTTTATATTATTCCAGCTTTCTGGATGATAGGAAGCTGGAATAATAGCCTTTTTTCCCACCTTGGCTCATGTGGTGACTCATATGATCAGTATTGGGTTAGCAACCTTCAGGACTTACTCCACACAGGACACCCACCACTGGGGTTTATTTCCTGGGAGTCTCCACCAGTTGCTTTAAGAACCGAAGAAGCGTATTGGATGTGATGTGAAACGTCTTCACAATCCTAAAGACGTCCAGCTGCCTTCTTTCTTGAGCTCTTGAGGCTTTCATCGCACACAGACACACCGGTCACAAGAAGCAGACGGGTCCCAATGCCACAGAGATCTCAGAGACAAGCTTGGAGACACTGCTCGTCTCTACACCCAGATGTCTGACAGGAAGTAATTCCATATCTCCTTGAACCCTGACAAACAGCTCCAGCTGGAGAAGCAGCAGACAAAAAGCAAACACAAGGAGATATGTTCAGTTTGTTCTTCCTGGATTCATAACTAATTCCAGAGACTAGACCCTTGTGCATGGCGAGGGAAATGACTTTTAGCAGCTGTATGGTATCTCTGAGCAATCTCAAGTCTAATATTGTTTTATTAAATCTCCTGTATTCCCATAACTATAAAACGTGTGCAATTTACCTTGTAAGGCTATCGTACAAAAGCTGAAATTAAAAAGTTCTCATAGTTCAGACAGTGTTTGATTTATTTGTACCGACACATGACTTCTTTATCTTTTGGACACTGGTGTTTCCTTTCATAAATTTCCATCACAATAACAGGACTCTGGTCTGACACAAATGTGATGCATGGTTCCTGAAAGTAATCGATTCCACTTCTTTTTCTCAGACGCCTTATGTACAACAATGTAAATCTAATGTGTTGTTTGTATTACAGTCACAGTTATAGAAAGCTGCTGGCAACGCCCCCAAAAACTGTCACAAATCGTTTAGTCTTACCTCAGAGTGTTTTCTGGACACTGTGACAAAGTGTGAATCGATTTCTTTGCCAGAGTCTCCCAGTAAGTGGATAATCTGACTGGCTAAATCATCTGTGGCAGCAGTACTCGTCTGGTTTTCTGTACAGCTGAGAGTGATGTGCTGGAAAGATGAGTGGCTGTGTAACCGCAGAAACTTTAGCTGGACAGCTTCCACACCAGGGTAATCAAACTATCAGAAAGAGCATTAATGTTAGAAAGCACATCTAGAAATATGATTAAGTTTCCTTAATCTAGCCACATATTATTTAATACTTACTTTTTGGTGGTGAGTAAACCTCTCCACATATGTCCTCATCATTTCTGGGTCCCTCCATATTTTAATCTAAACAGTGGGATATGATGTATAAAAGTAAAAGACACACACACACACACACACACACACACACACACACACACACGACACACTCACACACACACACACACACACACACACACACACACACACACAACACCACACACCACACACACACACACACACACACACACACACACACACAGGTTACTTTTTCCTTCAATAATCTGACATAAATGCAGTCCAAACTATCTACAAACATTCTCAAGTTCCATGTTTTGTAGCTGATATTGTGATAATGAAGTTAGTTCTTTGATAACGTTAAGCTTCACAGGTGAAAATGACTGAACCTGTGAGTAAAGAGGTTCTATGCAGGTTGCTCCACCTCCTGTGAAGTTACAGAAGACCTTCAAGGCATCACAGGGACAGCCTTGGTTCGGGTCCATGTAAAAGTAACCTGAAAAAAAGTTGAATGGAACGTACTGAAATATATTAAGGGAAAACGTAATAAAACAGTCATCAGATGCTCACCATCATTTAGATGTGGACGTATGAGTCTCAGCTCATGGCAGGTGGTTCCAGGATCATCTCTGGTGCCCAGGGGCCAGCTGAAGAACTCTGCTTCATCTTCTTGAGACCATCTCCTTGTCACTTCCCTGGGCTACAGGAAAACAGTGTTCAGCATTCACTCAGTCGGCTTAACATGTTTTACTTTTAAAGCTAGACTGCAGAGCAAATGAGGACATTCTGTGACTGTATATAATGTGCACGGAATAAGAAAGCTTGCACCAACTTTTTCTTGCCCTTCGCTTTGCTTCGGGAGGCCGGGGCTTTGCTTTGAACTCTGTGCAGTTTGAAGACTATATTTTTTAACAGGTCTTTGCTTAGGCTTCCATTTGCCAGGGGCTCCTGGTTTTCCCTGTGAAAGGCATGGCATGATACAAACTTTCAGGATATTCAGAGAAATGGATCAAGCTTTACATACATCTCAAAACAATCTAGCATGTTGCATTTGTGTTCAGCGATCAGGTACAAAGCTTCTTCGCTTATATTGTGTTTGCAAACTCTTACTTGAGGTCCCGGCTTGCCCTTCGTTCCCTTTGGACCTCTCCTTCCTTGGACACCTTTCATTCCCTGTAGTGACCCAAACACAATTCAGCAATGAACAACATTGAATACAAATTGACTAATGCTAAGACTTAAACATTTATAGAAATGCAAAGTCAGTCACCCACTTTCACTCCAAGGTGGCCCTGTAACACAGACGAGTGTATCAAACAAAGTTTTTAGGTTACAACATGACAATTTTTAAAATATTATTCAGTAAAACTTCACTAATCAAGATATTTTAGTAAGTCATTACAAAAAACTGAACATCAAAGCAACTTACAGGGATTCCTGAGAAGCCTTCCTGCCCGGCTGGACCACGAGGACCAGTGTCCCCCTGTAGTAAATGGTTAATTGATTATTTATTGGATACAAATAATTAAAACAATGCAATAATGGGAGTAAAGTGTGACTGACCTGTTTCCCCTTATCACCCTTTTCACCTTTAAATCCCTGCAAACCAGGATTCCCCTGATATACAAGTCAGACATGTGGTAGATTAATCCAAAACACGCCTTTTTCATTTAAAGCATTTTATATTTAAATTGACTGCAATTCACCTTTAATCCAGGTGGACCTATTGGTCCACGTATCCCTGTATCACCTGGGAGACCCTTTGTAGAAAGAAAAGAAATTAAAGGAGTTACAAATACACAAATATATGTTAGATGAGATTCTGACATATTGAATGAATATATGCACAAAATATGTAACTGACTCTTACCTTCGTGCCAAGACTTCCAGATTCACCTTTCTCTCCTCTCAGCCCTGGAATACCCTGAACCAACAGCAGCAGATGATGCAAATGTTCACACGAACAGGGGTAAGGTTTTTATTAGCGATCACGTTCTGCTCTCTAATCATTTTACCTTTGGCCCAATTGGTCCAGGAGGCCCACGTGTTCCTTTTAGACCCCTCGTACCCTGAGATATTTAATAAGACCTTAGTAAGAAACATTTCAACAATGCATTACATCAAACAAAATAAAAAAGACAAATTTATAAGCACCACTATGCTATAATATTAACGTGCTTATAATAGTCACCTGAAATGTATAAATGATTGCTTACCTTAACCCCCCCTTCTCCAGCGTTTCCCTTAATCCCAGGAGATCCAGGTTTTCCCTGCAAGGTATGCATGTATTTAATACCACATAATGCAATAATCTGTAAGAAAAGCTTAGCTGCAAAAGACTTATTCCATTTGTAATTGTGCAGATTTGCATGTCATTCATTTCCTTAGTGAAATTACCGTCTTGCCAGGCCTGCCTGGTGTTCCAGGAGCTCCTCTGTGACCAACGTCACCCTTTGAAGTTAGCAGGGGAAAAAGAAATTAATAAAAAATTGTGAAATGTGTTAAAATCAATTTTAGTAAGGCAAACTTTCTTACCGGATCTCCCTCATTACCCTGAACTCCCAGCAACCCATCCAGACCGCTCAGTCCCTGAGAATATGATCGCAAAAACGAGAAAAGACGATCAAACGAAATGAGCATTGTTGGTGTTTCGTGTTAAGAATTGCATTTGTTAGTTGGGATGCTTACAGGTTTTCCAGGTGGTCCAGCAGGTCCTGACCTCCCCGGCAGGCCTTCAGGTCCCTACAAAAGAGACAAGAAACTTCACCGGATGAAATCAAGGCCAAAACCGCTTAACCTTTACTGTTAACACTCATTGTTTATTATTTAATTCAGAGTGAATCATTAATTAGGCTTCACAGAAGACTGAATAATTAATCTGTGTTTATCAGACACCCAGTGTAAGTAAGTAAAGTTTATTTAGTGCTTTTCACTGACATAACAGTCACAAAGTGTTGAACAACAATTAAGACACCAGATAATCATGTTAAAACAGATTAAAAAATAGCATCAAATTGGTAAGACAGCATAACACACACCCAGTGCACGTGGGATTTATACTATCCGTAAATGTTGAAATAAACTATATTTCATAATAGTCACAGTAACTAATCTTGGAACTCCAGTCTGAGATGTGAAGGGACACTCAGCTTAAAACAAAACTCACAATTTGCCCAGCAGCTCCTTGTGTCCCTTTACTTCCTGGCTCACCACCTTTTCCCTTCAAAATGAATTCAGTGACATGAAAGTTGCATGAAGCAGGTTAAAAGTACCTTCACTATGATAGCTTTATTTAAGGGAATTAAGAAACTGTTTTAGAGTTACATGTTTGAGCCACGCTTTCTTCTTACCTTTGGTCCCTGGATTCCTTTAGTTCCTGGAGGACCAGGAGGGCCACCAGGTCCAGTTTGACCTTTAGGACCTGGAGAGCCTATGACCCCCATCTTCCCCATTGTACCCTAAAATCGCAGTGAAATATACTCAGAAATTTCTAGAATCACACTATAATAGCAACAGCATACTATAGAAATGTAATTTTTGGAATTGAAATACGTCAGATGATCCGGTAAGATCATTTAGTCATTTATGGCACTTACTATTAAGTATTAAAACTGCATAAGAATGCTCTCTTACCAGTCTTACCACTTTCCCTCGTGATCCAGGCTCGCCTTTTACGCCTTTCATACCTCTGATGCCCTGGGAAACAAAGACAGTTATGCAGACACATTGCATGACTGTGTTTGCACACATGATATTAAATATGCTTGACCATATTTATTATGGCCACAGAGTGAAACAAATAATGAAATCTAACCACGTCTCCCCGAATGCCTGGAAGACCCAGCATACCCTTTTCACCAAGACTGCCCTGAATTATAGAAAAACCAACAGAGACAGTTAAAAACCAGTGAAATCTTTTAGCTGGACAGTTAACATGTGTGAAAGGTACAGTATACCTTTGCTCCAGGCGCTCCACCTTTACCTTCAGCACCTCTCTTGCCAGGTAATCCCTAAAAACAGACACATAACGTATAAATAACTTACATATCACTGAAACAACTAAACCTTTTTTTTCACATTCAGGCCTAAATTAAGTTATATATTTTAAATATGCTCCACAACATGTCACTGTTGCCTATCCACGGCACGTTATTAGGTCCACCTGTTCAAATGACACCTGCTGAAGTTCACACTGAGCATCAGAATGGGGAACAAAGGGGGTTTAAATGACTTTGAGAGCAGCTGGTGACTCAGACTGGCTGATCTGAGCCTTGTCCCCTTCAGTCCGGGTCGTAGCTCGAGCCCATGACATTGTGCTAGAGGTCAGCGGTGCATCAGGGGAGACTGTTTCGAGCCGATAGCAAGACAGCACTAACTTAAATAATCACTTGTTACAACAAGGTATGCAAAAGAGCATCTGTAAATGCAAATGGGCTACGGCAGCACGAGCTTACACCAGGTGACACTTCTAGAAGCTAAGAACTGGAAACTGAAGCTATAGTTTGCATGCGATCACCAAAATTGGACAGTAACTGAATTGAAATGAAGAAGAGTCACGTCATGGATGTCCAGCCAGCAGATCTGCTATCATGTTAATGTCAATATATGTTTCCAGCACCTTGGTGAATCTATGCTACAATCATAGCTGTTCTGAAAACAAAAGGGGGTTGATATTAGTACTTTAAGTGTACCTAATAATGTGTCCGGTGAGTGTGTGTGATTTAGTTAACATTTTTAACTCAAATTCAACACAAACACATCGAGGTGATACCAATATCGAACATTTAGTGCACATTTTAGCACACAGTCAGTATAATAATGGAAAGTTAATGTTAGGTAAAGTAAAACGTACAGCTGGTGACGGTCCAGTGGGTCCAGGAGGGCCCGTAGTACCAGGAGGACCCTGAAAGAAAAACAGATATAATGTTGTTCAGCAGCATTATAGTCAAACATGCATGTTCTGTAGAGACATAGACACAGCACATGTTGTTAACGTGACTGAAGCAAACAGAACCCTCAGGTACTAACAGCGAGTCCCTGGAGCCCTTTCTGGCCTTTCGTTCCTGCTGCCCCAGTTTGGCCTCCAGCTCCAAATGGCCCACGAGTGCCTGATAAAGCCCTGGGGCCTGGCTCACCCTGTCAGTAAATCATCATTATCACTACCAGGTTTTCACTCAGACATTTTGTTTACAGGCAACACCAGTTCTCAGGTTTTCTTCATCATTGTTTCTACATGTATGAGTTAAAACGACTGACCTTGAGTCCTGGGGGCCCCTGCTGTCCTCTATCTCCGGGTGCACCCCTGTACCCCTGAGAAAAACACATGTAGTAAAGACAAGGCAGAGGCGATGCACAGTCTTTCTTATATTTGCTCTTTTTGAATTAATATCCCTGTATGGAAGTCAGTGGTGTTACAGTAAACTATACTTTAGGATTACTACATACCCGTTTCCCTTGTGGCCCCTTCGGTCCCTGTGAACCTTGGTTTCCTCTTTCACCCTCAGACCCCTTTGGTCCTTTCTGCCCAGGAGGTCCTGTGTTTCCCATAACACCCTGAAATCACAGTTTTATAAGTAACACAATTTTCACGAATGCTGCAGTAAACTGATAGCAAAATTAACCTTTATTCTTCATTTTGGGATTGATATTGGACTCACAGATAAGCCTTTTTGGCCGGCTGGCCCTTCAAATCCTTTCTGTCCGTTTGGACCCTAAAGACAAGAACAACACTCAGTTTGTCCTGTTTCATGGGCTCATATTCCTGAAGTTACTCTAACAGTTATGATCTTCTAGGTCTTTCATTTTCCTTTGATTTTCTTTCTTTCTCTTGTATTATCTGTGCTTTCTGTACTCTTCGCATCTCTAGTTTTCTTACTTTAGGTTTTGTTAATTTTATGTTAAATGGAAATTGAAAACAGTTGAATCCATGACCAAGCTAATCAATCTACCTCCTCACCATCGAGACCAGCAACTCCCTCCTGCCCCACAGGTCCTCTGGATCCCTGAACACAGGACATGTAGAGACAAACAGAAGAAGAAGAACTGTCTTAAGTTACTTCAAATGACACAGCATTATTGACGTGCACTTGCATACAGCTTTTTCTGTATTTAAGTAGGCAATAAGATACTTAGAGAAGCTCAGAGGTTCACCTTATCTCCTTTTACATCGCCTGATCCAGATGGCCCCTGACTTCCATCTTTACCCTGCGTGTTAAGAAATTTAAGATAATAACAGGGAGATAATATAAAGAAACATCCTATCAAAAAAGGAAGACAGCTCCGTCTTAGTGAGCTCGCAGTTTGGTAGAGCAGCTTTTTCTACCAAATGTATTTTGAATTTTAATTTCAGGGGATGTATTTGCTTCATGTTCAGTATACCAAATACTGCATAAATAATTGTTCTATAATTTGATGCACAACAAAGAATAAAGCAAAGATTATAATTCAACGTTACTATTGGTACATCGAACTGCTCGGCATTAATGCCAAGGCATAATTTTAAAAAGCACTTTTCTGTCAGAGATATCTTGAAAATTAATAATATTAACAATATCTCATAAAAAACGGCGGCAAATTGCCTGTATTTGCCTGAACAACCATAATATTCAACCAAAAGTCGTCAAATTATAATGGTGACTCGGATCCATCTTCTCTTTTGAAAAGAGCAGGGTTAAAACCATGAAAATTAATCGTACATGCGCTGGCTTATCAAAGTTTTCGAATCAGTTCAAATGCGGTGTAAATAAACCCGACATCATCATCCTTCCAACAGGTCTGGTGACACCGGGCTCGACTTGGTCTGGTGACTGACCCAGAGAAACTAATTATGAGTTCATGGCAAACTGGAAAGAAAGAAAGTGCCTGTTCGCTCCCGAGTGTTTCTGCAGTCATCACAAGAGGACTGTTCATCCTGCAGTTAAGCAAAACTGCAGAGAGATTAGCATGAAGGCTTTGTGACCTTTCACGTGGCTGACAGTTGACTTGATGAACAAAGTGTGACTAATGATGTGTTCTGAGTCTGGGATTTTGGGTTTTTCTAGTTTTGTATTTTGGATTATTTTCCTTGTATCCCTGTTTATTCATGACTCTTTTATGTTTCCACATCTGGCTCCTTTGTGTTTATGATTTGTAACTTGTGTCAATTTAGTCTTGCATCCTTTTCAGTTGTGGCTCTCTTCCTGTTTTATTTTGGTGACTGTTCTTCTCTGTATCCTTTGTCTTGGTTAACGTCCTCCACAGTCATTATCTCAGGCTACGTTCACACCGCAGGTCTTGATGCTCAATTCCGATTTTTTGATCTAATCCGATTTTTTTGTCTGCTCGTTCACACTACAACTAAAATGCGACAGCAACGCGCTCTAGTGTGAACGCTCAAAGCGGCCCACATGCCCAAAAGAAGACGTCACACACAAGGCGCTCTGTTCAGACCCAGAGCAAACAGTGTTGTTTGACTGATGGACCTTAATATAAAGACTTCGGACTTTACGTTTCCCAATTTTTGCTTTAAGTTATTTTGTTATTTACATAATAATGTAAATAACCTAATAATGATCCTTATTGCTGCTTTAGAGGAGCGCTGCTTCAAAGGATAGCTGCAGATTATACAGAACAAATAAAATGTTCACGTTGTCTTCCCAACAGTTTCACTGGACGGCCAGGAAGCGTTCGCGATGTCTTCTCCGGCGCTGATAATTAGCGTCTGTCTTGTGTCAGTGACGTAAAAGACGGATTTAATGCGACATGACCATCAAACAGCAGTCGCTTTCTAAAACATCAGATATGTATCGGATTCAGGACCACATACGAAAGTGACCCAGATCGGATTTGAAAATATCGGGTTTGTGCCGTTCACGCTGTCACACCATGATCGGATATGAGTCGCATAGGGTCAAAAAAATCGGATTTGATGCGCTTTCGCCTGCAGTGTGAACGTAGCCTTAGTTAACCCCAGCTGTGTTCCTACCTGGTTTTTTATCTCCTCATTATGTAAAATGCCTGAGTTCTGTACACAGCCAACCTTGACAGTTATGTTGGACAGACTGACAGAGCTTCAGTTTGTGTATGAAATAAAACAATTAGGCTCCCAAACTTCTAATTATACTGAAAACAAAAGCAAAAAAAACCAAAACAAAACCTTACAGAGTAACCTGTAACTCCAGGAGGACCAACTGGGCCTTGTGGACCTTGACCGCCTGGAAGACCACGGGACCCAACTTCACCCCATGGTCCAATGTTGCCGTGGATACCCTGTTGGATTAAAGTATGTTTAAAAAACAGAGAAAAAAGTTCATAGACTAAAAATATTTCTTGGTTTTATACAATCTGATTGAAGTCTGTTAGTTAAATACTCAAAGACGTTCACATGCTGTGTGTAGAAAACACACACAGCTGCAGTCATGTGAAAAACAAAGCCCACGCTCGGAGCTCGGAGTTTAAGAGTGAAGGTAGCAGCAAGCTGCTGCTCATCAAATGCACTTGATTAATCAAGTGTGACCATCTCTATAGAAGCAGATGTTGGTCTGGAGCATTCAGGTGTGTGCTAACAAATTAATGCCACAAATCTTTGGATTTTTTGAATGCAATACAAACAAATTGCAAGTACTACATATTAGACTCAGTTGGCATGTTGAATATTAAAGTTAATAACAGTCAAATTAGAAAATCACTAAACAAGTGTGGCTTATTTGGAAGAGTTGTTTTGCAAAGCTGCATCAGGACAAACAATAAGCATTTTAGAACAATGACCAGATGATGTTTGGCCATTATGCACCACAAAACCAACCAGATCATATCAGCACAAAACGCTCATAAACAATGTCGGGCATGGTGCTGGAATGATGATGATGACGTGGGCTTATTTTGTAGCCACAGGACCTGAGCAGCTTGCAGTCTTTGAATCATTAACTCCTCTTTACACAAAAAAATTTCTAGAGTCAAATGTGAGGCCATCTGTCGAAAGCTTGGCCAACACTGGGTCCTGTAAGGGGACAATAATCACACAATAAGAACTATGGTGGGACCATTAGAGAGCTGTCCATAAACAAACTGTCACGCTTCTGGGACATTTTTAACCAGCATTTTCAGTTTCTTGTGTTTTGGTATTAAGGTTTGTTCTGATTCTCGAGTTGTGCTGTTTTGAATATTATTATCCTATGTTTCAGTTATATTCTGGTTAAGAGTCTGTGCCTGTCATGTTTCCTGTTTTACTTTGAAAGTCTGTGTCTCATGTCAGTGTGCCCAGTTTTGCTTCCCCTGTCTCGTTAAGTCTGATTTCTCCCTGCTGTGTCTCCCTCGTGTCTCTCATCCCCCTCAGTGTATTTAACCCCCGTGTTTCTCTTTGTCAGTGTCCCAATCACACGTCTGTGTGTTCTGTCTGCCAAGTTATTTTTGTACATTCAAGTTTAGTTTTCTCTCGTGTCCAGCAATAAAGCTGCCATCTTGAGTTTAAGTTTTGCTTCTGCGTTGAGTCTGCATTTTGGGTCCTTTGCTGCCTCCCTGCACACAGACCATGACACAAATGGTACCAAACCTCAATGAATTGAAGCGACCTTAAAATAAAGTTCAAGAGAAGTTGGACAAAATTCCTCCACGACACGAGAAACTGAAAATTATACAGAAAACTATTACTTCAAGTTACTACTGCTAAAGGTGGTGGCACGTTATCACAGGACTGCACCGAGTCCAATGAAAAACGTTCTTTTCCACACATCTGCCTTCATCTAATTCTCTAATTAACTCACAAACCAATGCTGACGTGTAGAAACTCAAACCGCTGACCAATCAGTGCGTCCGACCTCCTGGGCTACAGCATTCTCACATTCTCAAACATCAAGACATTTACCACAATACAATCAAAAGCATAAGTTGACCAAAAGAAAGTGTAAACAAAGGACTGGATGAACGTTTTGTATGGACAAATAATTAAAATGATCTTACAGGAGCGCCTCTGTATCCCTGTGGTCCAGGCATGCCCATCTCTCCCTGGAGAATGACAAGAACTTGACTTTAGTAAGAAGTTAGAGAAACACTTATAAATAATGAACAGGCGATAGTAGACAATAAAAGGGACTAATTCACTTACTCGGGGGCCTTGTATTCCTTTCGGTCCCTCCTCTCCTCTTGCACCCTTCACAGCACAAACGTTATCATAGCATATGAGGAGCTAAATAACTGAGTGACTGATAAACCTGCTACTTAGTAATGAAGATGTGAGGCTCATACCTTAAATCCTTTACTTCCTGTTAGTCCGCTGGGGCCTTGCTTACCTACAACCCCCTAAAGGAAACATCAGGATTGGATTTTTTGGTCTGGCTATAAAGAAAGTACCACAAATTCCAGAAAGTCTACATTCATATATCATCATTTGGGTTGAATTTTCAAGGCTTCATTATTTTCTTTCAACAAACACAGGAGTACTCTCCATACAGCTGCACAGTAACATACTCTCCTTCCTGGCTGTCCCGATGTCCCCTTCGTTCCTCTGCTGCCAGATTCTCCCTGGAAGTCGAATGACACAACGCTATGATCCTAACGTCACACAATTCACTGTGCTGAGTGATCACAGGACGCTGTTGTAAAACTTTAGATCCTCATCTTAATAAATAAATGAATTCATTTATTACAGTCACTCCCATAGTCTCCAAAAATACTAACCATGTTTCATGAAGCAAGAATTTAAAAATTGCCTTACACTCTTTCCTACAGGGCCTTGGAATCCAGGAGGTCCTGTTTTTCCAGGCATTCCCTGTGGAAATGAGAACATGAGATAATAACTTGTCCCACTCCAGGATAAGCAAATGCAGCTGTCATATAACAGGACGAGCTCACTTTAGGTCCTGGAGGTCCGACCGCTCCATTCACTCCATTTGCACCAACAGGTCCCTGAAGCAAAGATCATATTAGTTTAATATCTGTTACTGTTACTGCTCAAGTATCATTTCTGACAGATTAAATGTTAACTATTAACCTAAAGAAGAAAGGATCTGATTCTGGAACACTTAACCCATTTTGTTCTGTAGGAATAACAAACCCATAACAATAAATACATAAAAAGAAAAATAATTCCCATTAATAAGGGAGGCTTCTGTTCCAAACACAGCACATGGTTAGTCTTACCGAGGCTCCACGACTGCCATCCTGCCCCTTGTGGCCCAGATGACCTTTAAATCCCTGAAAAATGAAAGAAATGTCTCCTTTTTTCTATTTGTTTTTTCTAGTGTGAATAAAAAAAAGGAGTTAAAATTTACCATATATTTGAAATCCATATAAATACAATACAATTTTATTTATATAGCACGTTTAAAACCAGGGGCTACACCAAAGTGCTTCACAGTAAGGAATAACGGTAAATGATTACACTGAACAGTAAGTCATTAAAACAAAGTAAAATAGAGAAAATAGAGAACAAACAAAAGCATAAGTAAGTAGAGATCAGAGATGATTATCCAGAGAAATGAGTATCTGCAAAAACTCAAAATCTTAGCAAGTATATTTGTCTTATTTCTAGTCAAAATTATCTCATTACACTTAAAATAAGACAAAATCAGCTACAAAGCAACTTTCCAGTAAGATTCAGGAACTTGTTTTAAGACAGTGAATCTTGAAACTAGAGAAAAACTAGAGAATTTTCAGTTGTTTCGTTGGCAGATTTTTTCACTGAATACAAGATATTTTACCTTGAAATAAGTGAAAAAATCTGCCAATGAAACAAGTTCCTGAATCTTACTGGAAAGTTGCTTTGTAGCTGACCAGATGATCGTAAAGAACGGCTGGGAGTATAGAGACTGAGGAGGTATATAAATAGTGCCATCATCTGGATAGTAGCTTTAGCAGATGTCATGTGTGGTGGATAGATCAATTCTGTTTTAAAGCTATAAACATGTGTTTCTCTAATGTTTACAGGTAAAGCATGGTCACCTTCAGGCCTTTTGAACCCGGCATCCCCGGGACTCCAATCTTCCCCTAAACAGATGGGGTACACAATCAGGTACAAACACAGTGTGAACTCTTTGACATGCCTCTGTTTAATGCAATAGTAAGAGCTTTTTCAATGCACTGATTGGTCGGTGCCTTCAGTCACAGATGTAAAAAAAACAACAATTAACAGCGCAGTCATGCAAGTACAGAGTAAGAACTTTAACCATATAGGAACCTTTATACCAGGTTCTCCTTGAAGTCCCCTCTCTCCTGATGTCCCCATCTGTCCCTGCAATAACAAATAAATACATAAATAATACGAACAGTATCTATACTGAACATGTTGTCACTTATACTCACAACAGGACCAGGGATTCCAGAAAATCCCGCTCGACCTTCCCGACCCTTTGACAAGAAGAATGACTGTTAATGGTTAAGAAATGTTACAACACTGCTCCCTCTACAATACTACAGTTCACATATTTTTGGAAATATTAAAAGTAAGAAAAAGCTGAAAAACACCTCCTTTGCAATTTTATGTTGACTTTGCTTTTAAAATGTCTTTTAACCCTTTAAAGCCAGTCGGTGCGGGCACGCTCTGTTTTGCGTAACTATTTTTAAATCCCGGTAGCTCTGCAACCCCGTAAGCTAGTGCAATAATTTTTTTTTGCATATGAAGCCGGAGGAGTTGTACTTACATCTTATGCCATCAGCTTGTCCTCGGTCACAGTTTCCTTCCACATATAGCTTTGCAAAAACTGCATAAAAAGCACTTGTAGCAACAAAAACATAATATTCCAGAAACACCCAATGCCGATCCGATCAGCTGTTCATAACACTTCCTACGTCCATCAGCACTGCCCGAAACCGGAAGTGATGTCATTTTGCGGAAATGTAGTTTTTTACTATCAGGGCCTTATGAGCCTATACTGGTGTTTTTAAAAGTTATGTTTGACTTTATGACTTTCTGTGTCGTTTCTGGGATGCTTAGGACTCATATTGCACTGCTGGAAATAGTTTATTTTGATGCATATGCTGTTTCTTTTTGCAGATTTGCAGTATAATATTTATTTTCGTTTTTCCTGCAGTGTATAAAAATTGGTGTATTTCAAAAATAAAACTATGAAGACACTCAAAATAAATTTCCTGTGGTAGGAAACTATTTTGTGCAACTTTTTTGTATTTACAGTTTTGAGGGATAAGCCTCTTAAATTTCTCTAACTAGAAATATATGTTAAAAAACCAAAAACGATTTTCAATTTTTTTGTAGTTTATTGCACATTTTTGGAATTTATGTAATTACTATGCACTTAATGCAGACATATTATTAAAATTTGGGCTATAATGGTTGTATTGATGTATAGCAACTTGAAATGCTCCCAAAAATGGCGCTACAGCATGTAAAAATATAATATAAGCTCTGGCGGACTTGGTTCTATGGTCGGTCTTAAAGGGTTAAATACCAAGTTTGGCCTCTGATCTTTAAGGTCACACTGAGATATGCAGCATTCTGTCAAACTAAATTTCTGTGCAAATATATTGATGTATTTTAGTGCTGTCAGCCATAACTGCATTAACGCGTTAAAAAGCTAACCGCGCTAATGTGTTGACGCCATGCAGCCCCACGCACGGGGTGATCCGCGGTAAGTCGTTAACTGAGATTTGCCGCGTTAATGCGGTTATGGCGTTAACGTCAATTTAACGAGATTAACGCTGACAACACTAATTTATTTTATAGATATGAATTATTCAGACGCCTTACCTTATTGCCTCGAGATCCAGGACTTCCTTGAATACCAGCTGGTCCTCGGTTTCCCTACATCACATCATATTTGAGCAACAAAATTCACTTTTCAGCAAAGAAAAAGAGTCAAGATAAACAGATTCAACTATTTGCTCAAACTCACCTTGGAGCCATCTTTTCCCTGCTTCCCTGGCTCTCCCATGATGCCATCAAAGCCCTACAACATTGGATGAAGATATGAAATAAGATCTGATATTACAGAAGCTTTAGCATCATAAGTGAGCATGTTTTTTAAAATATATATTTATTTTTTACACTCACAGCAGGTCCAGGAAGTCCTGGTAGCCCTGCATGTCCTCCAAGTCCCTCAAGTCCCGTTGGCCCTGCGTGCCCCTTTGATCCCGGTTTACCTGGAGGTCCACGAGGACCCTGAACAAACAAAACAAGCTGATTCACTGATCTGATCAGTTAACCAACCACAGACCGGACAGATGGACAAGAAAATTACCTGGGCTCCCTTGAATCCTGGATCCCCCTTCTCACCTCTCCTGGATTTGACACCCTGGTGGTGACAGAAACACATAAGTAAACAGAAAACAACAGCTCAGGAGACCAAAAGGGAACATCAATTAATGTCATGCATTATAAAGGTTGGAACCATTTTAGCAAGAGTGAGAAATTAAATTCTTTTAAGTAATCTTACGGGATCACCTGAGGATCCAGGCTTTCCTGGATTCCCACTGGCTCCCTAAAATAAGGGGACATTGCTCAGGTAAACTCACTACAGCATAGACAAACGCTGCACAGCACACTTACTCTTTAGTCTAATTATCTTACGTTTAGTCCAGGTGGTCCAGGTTGACCTACTTCCCCTTCATCTCCTGGATCACCCTGGTGAAATGTAAAAAACAGAAAATTCAAACGGCAGTGACCCGAACTGGTAACTGCGTACGTTCACAAACCAGTTTGACATTTTATGTCTTCAAGTATACTCACAGTGCTACCTTTAGGACCTGGAGGTCCATTAGGGCCTGGGTTTCCCTGTGAGGTCATTGATCAAAGTGTTTTACTCACAATTAATTTTTCAACATGTGATAAAGAACTTTTTTTTTTTACTCCTAAAAAGATTTACTCAGGTTACATTAGGTTTATCTTCCTACTCTCGTTTTTAATCAATATTATCTCATTTTCACCTTCCTTTGTTCACAAACTACACGTGACCAACCAAAAACGTGCAACTTTCATTTACCAAACGCTGAATAACGTGTTGGTTGTTTCACACGTGATCATTTCATGCTATACAAAAGCTTTACTAATACCTGAGGGCCACGAACACCAGGAAACCCGACTGTTCCATCCGGACCGGGCTCTCCCTAAAGCAATGCACGTATGTATATTTTGGACATTTACTGAGGTAAGTGACAACGTCTGCTAGAAAGGGAGCAAATATAGGTGTTTTCTCACCTGTGACCCAGCTGCTCCTCTGGGGCCCATTTCACCCTGATGACCCTGACAGTTTAAATAATTGCTCTATAAATGTCTTTAAAAAACAAGCAAACACCACTTTGAGTTTGTTTACTTTACTTACTGTTGGTCCTGTAATTCCTCGGACACCTTTTCCTCCTCCGGGACCCATTTTGCCCTGAAAAGAAGGCAGATTAATAGATGCTCATTAATAGTATCTCATGTTTAATTAAAAATAATTTTCAGTGTGATGGTTTTGTGGGAGGATATAACTTACTGGAGGGCCTCTCGGACCACAGAAGCCTAAATCCCCAGTTTGTCCCTGAAAACAATGAAAAGCAACAATGAATGCAAAGTAGAAACAGTAGAAACACCAACACAGATCATTTTTTCTATCTGTTTGTGTGACACTGACCGAAGGCCCTGACGGTCCTGGGAAACCGGGAGGACCTCTTGCTCCGGACGTGCCCTGTAAACATTGGACTTTTCAGATGTAGCTTTAAAATGTACATAATTTGAGAGCAATAATTAATTTAAGTCATCTGTTTTACAAATATTAAGTAATAAAAAGCAACTTTTTGAATGTGCTGGGAATGGAGCTGGTCATCTGAGCTTACTATGTAGCCAGGAAGCCCAGCGTGGCCTCTGACTCCTTTATTTCCCTGTAGGCACAAAGACACGGATCAGAATCCCGTGCAGCCCTCCTGCAAAACGACAGCACTTCTACAGATGACTCATCTGACCTTGTCTCCTTTCTGTCCTCTGGGTCCCTGTGACCCCGCTTCGCCCTGATAACCCTGCAGGCAGAGAAAATGTTTGACTTTTAATATAAATCTTTGACTCTTTAACATATACAGTTATAATAGTATGAGCAAGCTGCACAAATAAGTGGCTGTCGCTCACTGGCCAAATCATTAGATACAGATTTCTAGTGGTTTCATGGTGCTGGGTCATTTTGACTCAGCAGTTTTAGTTTCATGTGTTTCGGTGTTTTTTTCTGTATTATATTCTTTTTTGATTCTTTAGTTTTCCTGTTTTGAACATTGTAATCCAAATTTTCAGTGTTATTCTGGTTAAGAGTTTTGTTCTTAGGTTTAGTTCAGCGTCTAGTCTGTGCTTGTCATGTTTCCTGTTTTACTTTGAAGGTCCGTGTCTCATGTCAGCGTGTCCAGCGTTTCTCTCCCCTGTGTTGTCCTTATATTTTCATTCGAGTCAGCTGTGTCCTCACGTGTCTCCACCTCTCCTGATCACCTCATGTGTGTATTTAAGTCCTCCGTCTCCCTTTGTTCATTTGTTCAAGAGCTCATATTGCCCCAGCTCTTCAGCAGCTTCACTGGTTGCCCGGAGAAGCCAGGATAAACTTTAAAGTCTTACTTCTCGCACACAAGTGTATCCATAAATCTGCTCCTTCCTATTTGTGTGACCTGCTTCATATCACCACTGTTTCCCGCCCTCGTCTCACCACTGTGGGGATCAGAGCCTTCAGTCGCTCCGCTCCTCGGCTCTGGAACTCTCTTCCTCCAGCTGTTGTGGCCGTTTTTGTTGAATGTTTATAAAACGCAATTTGTATTCATTTTTGTTTTTTCTTTAAAGTTGTAGGAATATGCTGACCTAGTTTTGTTATGTAAATTTGTAATTCATTTTATTGGAAAAGTTTTTTGGAAAGTGATTGGTTTATTGGCTTATGGACCCTCCCATTAATCAGGGGATTAAGAGCATCCTGGGGGGGTAAAGATGGTTTTTGTTTGCCAAACGTCTGATGGGAAGACGAAAAATGATTTTTTTGACCACTTTTGAAGTTGTTAAAGCAAATTAAGTTAACTTTCGTTTAATTTTAAGTTTTAAGAAGTTATTTGGTTGATTTTTGTTTATAATTTTCCACGAAATAAACGGCAGATGATTTTTAAACAATGGAGTCAGAAGTGCGTTCTAAAACAAACCTCCCGTTGCCACCCACGGCCTTTTCTTGGACTTTTTTGGCGTTTGGAACATAAAAGGCCGTGACACCAGCCATAAGAAATATAAACTCTCTTCCAGTATTTAAGTCACAGCTCAAAACACATCTGTTCAAACTGGCTTATTCACTTTAGTGCCGATTTTATCTGTTGTCAAGTTCTGCTTTGCAATTTTAACTTATTTTATGTATTTTATGACTATTGCTCCTTTTATTAATTTTGTTCTTTTGTAAGGTGACCTTGGGTTTTTGAAAGGCGCCCTCAAATAAAATGTATTATTATTACTATTATTATTACTATTGCCGCGTCGTGCCAGCTGTTTTGGCCACTTTGTTTCAGCCATAATAAAAGCTCGCCTTTCGTTTAAAGTTCGGCTCCGTCTTCTCGCCCGTGTCTGCTGCTGGATCCACCTCACTCAGTCCACTCGGTCCGTGACAGGTTCCCCTTTTGCCTTCAGAACTGCTTTAAATCTTCATGGCAGAGATTCAATACTGTATGTGAAACATTCCTCAGAGATTTGGGTTCTTACTCAGCATCACACAGTTTATGAAAATGCGATGAATGCACATCCACGATGTGAATCTCTCGTTCTACCACATCTCAAAGGTGCTCTGTTGGATATAGACCTCGTGACTGTGAAAGCCATTTCATTACATCGATGTCCAAGAAAACAGTTTGAGGTGATTTGAACTTTGTGATGGCGAGTCAGCAAGGGCTGGGCATGGTCAACAACAAGACTCGGGCAGGCTGTGGCACTCAAACGATGCTCAGTTGGTGCTGAGGGGACCAGGTGAGCCAACAACATTATACTGAACTGTTGATACAAGGCAGGACGGATCCATGCTTTCTACCATCTGATAGGTGAGACTCATCAGACCAGCTGACAGTAATGGCAGCCTCTGTGGTCTTTTTCTGTAGCCCGTCTCTCTTGTCCATCCAGAGAGGTCTCCTGCGTACCTCAGGCCTAATAAGTAGTTATCTGAATTACTGCTGCCTTCCTATCAGCTCTGTGTAAAGACTAGTGATGGTTGATCAGGCGTTTCTGAAATACACAGACCAGCCTGTCTGGCACCAACAACCCCCCATACACTCAAATAGCCTTTCTTCCTGATTCTGAAGCTCAGTTTGAACTTCAGCAGGTCATCTTGACCATGTTTACGTTCTTAAATACACTGAGTTGCTGCAATGTGATTGGCTGATTAGATATTTGCCTTTAACAGTCAGTTGAACAGGTGTATCTAATAAAAAGGCCAGAGAATGTATGCTGTCTATGCACGTGCATGCTAAAGCCTCCATAGTTATAATCCTGATAACATTATAAGTTCAGGACAATCTTACCCACTCACCCAGCTCCCCTTTGCTGCCCTGCTCTCCTGTGTAGCCTTTGGGACCCTGTAAGGACAACTAAGGAGTTAATTCCCCAGGCACCAGTATGACTAACTTAAATCCATACATGGAAACTAAAAAGAAATAAATACATGTTTTCCAGGAGATTTACCTGCTCTCCAGGTAAACCTGAAGGGCCCGGGTCAGCATTGTGTCCTGGGGTCCCGTCTCTTCCAGGTCGGCCCGGGGGACCCAGGATACCCTGTGGACCAGGACTGCCCTGGAGTACAACGCAACATGTAAAGTAGGTAGAAGAATAATCACGAGACATTACAGAGCAGATTTACAGACAATAGTAGTAATATCTTTCCTCTCTATTCAATATAAATTTGCTTCTACCCAGAATTCCTATTACTACTAAAATATATCCAGGAAATATTAAAACCTCTGTCCTGACCAACCACAACAAGCCAGCATCCACTTAAGCATCATTTTAATGTCTTAATCCACCATAATATCGCTAGAATAATATACAAGTTATCACCCTACTGATCGTCCTAATCACGCTAAAAAACATTTGATATTTACATAGTCAGCTGCTTTGCAATAAAGCATTAATCATCTCATTTTGCAATATGTGCGTGAACCTTAGCATGTTCTTTGCCTTACACTTAATTTTAGTTGTCATGATGTGAGCCCCATGATCCTGCACTCAAGTAATCAGATGCAAAAAAACAAGTCAGAGAAACGTACGATGATTCCTTGAACTCCTTTAGGTCCTTGCTTTCCAGGAATTCCAGGTAGTCCCTGGAGAAAAAGTAACCACTGGAGTCTAGTTACAGTCCTTTATTTGTATCGTCAGGTAAAACTTTCAAGTTGAATTTAGCCATGATGTCTTTGTCTACTTACAATTGGTCCATCATCTCCAGGAGGTCCGGGAGGACCCGGAGGCCCTTTAAGTCTCTGAGAACAAAAACACACAGTGTTACATCTCAGGCACAACATGTCTTATTATAACATTAAAATGAAAATGTGCAAAGAACAATTTTTTGATTAACCTAAAAAATAATCTTCTCAGAGTACCAAAGTTCAGCTGCTATAAGAAAGGAGTTACTGTAAAAAGTCATTTTAGGTGCAATCATGTTATAAAACAAACGCCTACCGGCCACGAGGACACCAGCTTTTTGTAAATTTGCTTTTTCTGCAAGAAAACAGTGAAGAATGGATTTTTAAAATCATGATTACTGAGCGTTCACACACAGAAAGAAAAGCTTATTCATACTTACCCTGACAAAAACAAACTTTAAAAATAATATCACAGCAGTGGTAACTATAAGCTCTGAAACAATTAACGATTTAAATTGTCACAGTTATAAGAACGCATCCGTCAGCAGTGAAAGTGGACAAACATGTGATATAATGAAACACAAGCAGACACTGAAAAATTAAAGATCCAATAACATTAAAACTGCTTATATATCGTAGTCAGTACAAATGACACAAGTCAGTCTCTTCTAGATCACACATGAAATGATTCAGTGGATCCAGAAGGATCACGTTTGTATTTCCCTGTCTCTCAGTTAATCTGATTTCACTTATTTCAGTTCTCTATATATTTGTCAAGCAAAAGTATCTTATAATGTTAAAAAAAATTCTAAAAAAATGACACATTTAAGAAATAAATATTTAAACAATTTTACTAAAACTAACACTTCTTACATTTGCTAAGCAGAAGAATGTACATCTCCTGTTTTTATTAAATATGCTCAGTCTTGGAACATGTCTGTTAAAATAGTTTTCATTTCATCAAACACAGCAGCAGCTCACCTTGAAAGCCTCCCACTCTTCTTCAGAAGTTTTAAACACAACAATAGCCGGCATCCCAGCGGGACCAACAGGGCCTCTGTATCCAGTCTGCCCGGTCCTGCCCATCACGCCTGGGTATCCCTTAGAAGACAAACCCCCCCAAAACAAAACCAAGAACAAGAACAAGAATTTGACATTTTACTTAAAGTTTATTAAAGATTCATGAAGACAATTTACCACCAAGAAAAATACAAACACGTGAATGTGAAAAGAAACCAACAAATCTACGCCTCTAAAAAACTAAAAAAGAAGATTAACACAATTGTAAGCCATGCTTCCGAGCTCATTGCAATATCTATTTATGAACAAGTGCTTAAATTACACCAAGATGAATTTTATTAAGTTTAATTTAACACTCACTTTATCTCCCTTATGTCCCGGTAGACCAGGTAAACCGTGCAATCCCTGAAACAAACAGTAGAGCTGAGTCATTGGATCATGTGAACCCAAAATTATTTTAACTAAGATTACTACAAAGTGAACATGATGGGTAAAACTGGAATTTCTTTTAAATACACACTCATTATGAATTTGATGTGTCGCACTAGTTTTTGACTTATCACACGTTTTTACACATCTGGAGCAGATGCAGGTATTTTATCTTCTGCATGGGAGCTTTTAATGTGAAGCCATGCTATTTTAATAGGTGTAGAATATTGTATTCAATTGGCTTTCTGAGATACGCAAGACCTTTAGTGAAGAGAATGATGTCTGGATGGTTCCTCCTGAAGGAGGTACCAAAGATGCTTTTGGGATCTTTGTGCAAACAACCTCTGAAACATGCGCTGCAGCCCCAAACAAATCTCGGAAGCTGGCTTTTAAGCTGCCGACGAGCCCGACGGTCCATCGTCTCAAGCAGTTGGCTTCCATGAGTTTCACTAGTAATTGAATTTTTGTGATGCCTCATACCACAGGCAGTTTCTCCCGTACTGTTTCTCAAGATTCTCCAAAACTTTATATTATATTATGCACTAAAGATGAAATTTGGCATTTTGACAGAATATTAAAACCGTCTCCATATTTACCTCACAAAGACTCTCTACAGTGTTGCCAGTTAGCTTAAGTAGTTGCAAGTTATTACTTTCTTTTGTTTTTCTCCAAATGCCTGTGTTAAAACTGCTTTCATGTAACCTGCTCCTCCATCTACATGCAGGTAGAAAGGCTTATCATAGTCAGGCAATGCTAAAACTGTATTTGTCTGTAATGCTAGTTTTAAGTTACTGTCTTCTTCTTCTTTGTAGATGCAACACTACATTTTTATTTAAGGCATTTTAGGTCATTTCTAGTTTTTTCAAAGAATTCACACATCTCACACATCTTACATATTTCAAACTTTGAAGTTAGGATTTAAAAAACTTCTTTATTTGAACTTTTCCCACAAGGTTCCACTCTTCATAGCAGCTTCATATAAAGTATGCAGCAGGCTTTTAATCTCAATGTGGATGCACTGCTCACAGCTCTAAAACTAGACATTAGTAAATCACATGCCTAATCATTATGTGTCACTGTGAGCCACAAGTATGATCACAAATGTGTTTTTCAAACCAACAAAAAAACAAAAACAAGTCGCTGATGGCATGAACGCTTTACACACATGAGTCAGGACACAAAAGAAAAAAGCTGCTGCCAGAAACAAATCAGAAGTGTGAGGAAAAAACTGAGCTCACAGACAGCTGCATGTGTGAGCTTTAATAGCATGCAGCAAAATGTGTAACTTGCTCATTAGCTTAGCAGTGTCCACATATTTAATTCAGCTTCTCAATCCTGTAGCTTTAGCTGTTGTCTACAGGGTTTAGCTTATTAGTTGTTAGTATAGGTTTGCTCTATATCTCAGCAAAGTCTCATCTAGGATGACAGGTTTTCAAGCAGGTCAAGTGCCTCTATGCACTTAATTAGTTTAGATATTTTCTTTATTTCCTTCATCTCATATGTCTTGTACTGAACTTGAGCAAACCTTAAGCTTGATGCAGACTACTTCTAACAATTATCCACCTCACATCATAACTGACTGAGGTGCCTCTTCATATTAATATTATTCATTATTAATGTTATTATCTTTATTTATTTATTATATATATATATATATATATATATTATATATATATATATATATTATATATATATATATTATATATATATATATATATATATTATATATATATATATTTTTTTATATAACAGCAATGGTATATTACAATATTTTATTTATATTTTATTTTGTATCCATCAAGGGCTGCGGGTGATCTGCAGTTTCACCCTTTCCCAAGCTGGAGACATTTTCCTTTTCACACACTTTCCTTGGCTGAACAATGACACAACCTTAATATACCTTATGCATCTCTCTATTTCATTTAATATGTCTTCGTGTGAATTATCTGCTTTCATTCATTCTATTCATTCTGGGCATGGTACGTCATCCCAACTATGTTTCATTGTTAATACCAGTTTACAGGTTGTTATCCTTGCTATTATTAGTTTGAATACATTAGAGATAATTTTGGGTGGCTGTAGCTCAGGTGGCAGAGCAGGTCAGCCACTAATCAGAAGGTCGGTGGTTCGATCCCAGGCTGCCTCCTGCTGCATGCCAAATATCCTTGGGCAAGATACTAACCCCGTGTTTGCCTCCTGGTGGTGGTCAGAGGGCCCGGTGGCGCCAGTGTCCGGCAGCCTCGCCTCTGTCAGTGCGCCCCAGGGCGGCTGTGGCTACAATGTAGCTGCCATCACCAGTGTGTGAATGTGTGTGTGACTGAATGTAGTGTGAAGCGCTTTGGGTCCTTAGGGACTAGAAAAGCGCTATACAAATGCAGGCCATTTACCATTTAGAGATAATTATCTCTAATTTAATTTAGCCTTTTGTTTATTCCACTTTATTCCTCTTGTATTTATATGTATTCAGTTGGGTCTGTATCCAGCCCTTTTTAAACTTCTACTTTGATCTCTAATTTTTCACTTGGTGAGGGATTATTATGATCTTCCTGATATGGATTATTTATACAAGCTGGTTACATGTGTGTACAAAGTTATTCCAAGAACTCAAAGCTGAGGTTCCCCTTTTCTACATCTGTATGTTCTCAGGAAAGAGGAAGCTGTTAGTTGCTAAAATAAGTTTATCACTCAAAAGTTGTTATATGGCTACATTTCATGTAGCTGATCGCACTATGTACAATTTTCTTTTAACAAAACTATACTTTAAACGATGACACACTGAACATGAGTGTAACTGGGGGTGTGTTATGTACAATAAACCAAATATATATTTGTTGGGGAAAAGGAAAAAGGTGTAGTGTAGCTGATGACCTTACAAATACGCCTGAGGGTTACAGTGCCACAGTTTAGCCAGAGGAGGGAGCCAGTGCATCTCACTGGAGAGACTAACCCCCCTCCCCTACACACACACACACGGTTTTCTAGGTGCAAGAACTGACACAGATATATGCTGCCATCGTAGTCATCAAATCAGCTTTGTGCAAATTCAATTTCATCCAAGGACACGGCCGTAAATAAGCCGAGAATATCAGACAAATGTGATTAAAATTTCCTGTGTGCTTTGTTTATAATTTCATTAAAACTCTGAATCAATGTGAATGAATCTTTGTTTATAGTACCAAGACCCACAAAGGTAAAAATAGCTACAGTAGTGAAATCAAGTCTTATTCAAACATAGTTACTGCAAAGCATGAACAAATTCCTACCCTTTGACCTCTGATCCCAGGTGTTTGACGTCTGACTGTGTTTGTAGGAGGCGGATTCGCTGCTCTGTCAGTCTGCTGTGGAGGTTCAGTCTCTGACTGGATGCTGAAGCCTACGGTGCTAAACTGGGAGATCAAATCAGGCGAGGGATGACTGTAAAACCTGTCACCGTCTGCATGCCCTTCCTCCACCTCTGGATCTGTTTCATTTTCATCTGTCTCCGTCCCATTAACTCCATCTCCACCTTGAAACGGGATTGCTTTTCCTGTGGGTGAAACAGTCTCAAACGTGTCTTCCATTGCCTCCTTTTCTATTTCCTCACTGGCTGAAACATTACTCATCTCAGTTTCTGTGACCCTGGGACTCAGAGCTCCTCCACTTTGTAGTGTGGGGGTTACAACCGTAGCTGTTCTGAAGTCTTTAAAGGAGGGAATAGCGACTACTGGGACTGGACTGGTAACCACTGATGACAAAGCCTGTTGTCTAATTTTGCCTGTTTCCACTTTTTCTGGTAAAGGGTCCACAGTGGAAGCAACAGATTCTGTGGTGAATCCTGAAGCAGGAATAGATGAAACCGTCCCTGGTTTTGTTTCTGTATGAGTTCCTGATGAGGCAGCTGCAGCTGTGGCGTCCTCAGACTGAATGTTAGGGCTGGCAACTGTCATCTCGGCAGTTTGTGCTTCTGAGCTCCCCGTCCCAGTTATGTTAAGATGCGACTTGGAAAGCTGCTCATTTCCAGTCGAAGAGCGAGGCCTCGGTTCCGGCTTTGGCTCGTCTGCTTCTCTGTTGGTTGAACTTGTAGTATTTGTATCTAGATCTGCATGATTGTTCAATACTTTGGCGTTTCCATCACGTATGGGAGGATCAGGATGCGACTTCAAAGGGGAAGCGCTGCTTACTGGATCCAGCCTTGGCGTCACCTCAGTGTGACCAGCCTGCGAAGTCGAGCTTTGAGGGGAATTTTCTGAACTGGGTGATACTCTGACTCCAGGCTGAAGGTTTGTCTCATCTACAGATCCAGCCTGCAGGCAAATCTGACCACAGTGAAGATATTTCACATTTTAGTCCATTTTCAACCATCTTGCAGTTTTCATTTTGCTAAACATTTGATTAAAGCATTTGATGCCTAAATGACATTCCTGAGTAAACTGCTTCTCGTGGATTCACACACAAGTCCAAAGCACAGTTACTCATCGCGCAGACAAACGCTCCCTCTGTGGCTTCCCCCAGACACACCGGCCAATACAAACACAGACTGTACTATGGAAAAATGTTATTAAATGTCATAGATTCACACTTATTTGTTAACAGAAAAGCAAACAGGGCAGCACAGTGTGGCCTGATGAACTTAAAGCGTGAAGCTGTAGGGCTGAGGAGAGATTACTAAAGGGTGTACACACTATCAGATAATGCTACTGCGTGGGTGTGCACCAGCTAATCCTAGCAGATATCTTCAGCTTTGTCGTGTAGAGATTACTGACCCTGTAACTTATTCCAGCTTTGAAAGCCTGCAGCTTAGGCTGGCATCTAAATCAAATCTGTATAACTGTTAGTAGCTCTTGATTACTTTAAGAAAGTTAAAGCATAGAAACTATTTATGCTACACTCCACATAACACAGACATCATCCGTAAAAGGAACAAAAAGGAACACATATATATTAGGATGAGCAGCAGCAACAACTGATCTAGTGTGTTTTAGACACCGTAACGATCTCTGATAACAGGAAAAATAAAACGCTGTCAGAAATCAAACGATGTGTTTGTTTTTGTTGACTGTCACAGCGTTGTGTGTCTTAGACATGAGCACATGATGCTCTCATCTCCACGGCGATGCTCAGCTGCTGAAGGCAGAGGTTTGCCCAACTATAACTACTACTTGCTTAATCCTGACCCCAGATTCAACCTTAAACCAAGTCTTTGCCATAAAATGTTATGATTCACAGAAGTCGATGCATGTTAAACACATATAAATACCAGAGGAAAAACCTCACTTATACTTTAAAAAGGTGAATTCTGTTTTTATTGTGGTGGACATCGACATCTGCATACCTCACTTGTCTTCACTTATTTATTTATTTATCTTCCATTAATTTTTAATCCTTATTTATCTTTATTTATCTTGTTCTTTTAAACTAACGTGGTATTTGTGTACGGACAGCAAAGGAAGAATTTCATTGCTCAGAGAAATGTCATTTCTTCTGTACATATGACAATAAACGCTGCTCATCATGCTACATGGTCTCAGCTGTGGCCACACGGGGATGCCAGAATCAGCAACATTAATATCTCACACAAACAGACTTCAGATGTTTTACTACATTTACCATTCAGTGGTGCCTTAGTTTTTACTGTATTTAGCATATTATGACATAATATTCGATTATTATTATGTCGTCTGACTGTCCTGCAGATGACATAATGCTTTTATTTTGTTGTTGCTCTTTCTGTATAGAAAAAGCAGACAAAGAAGGGTGTTTAAATCTCTCATAACCAAAGAAAAACCAGACAAAACCCAAAAATTATCTATGTGAACAATAAATATGTCAGGTAAAAATGACCAATAATCTATTCCTTTGTGAAAACATGCACCTGTCCTTCAGGCAGGTTTAGTACACTGACCTCTTCTGTCTGTGACTAATATGAAGGTCAAAACATTTTAAGGGGTGAAATTATTCTTTTGCAGAGAGAATATTTTATTTGCTATGTTGCTACAGTTGAAGTAAAAGTCCTCCACCATCGATGATTGTTTCATTTGCACATATAACAAGAGCCAATTACTTGAAACGTGTAAATAAAACAAAATTATTTAATTGCTACAGTTACTGAGAGAAACAGAAGAGGAGCAAAGGCAGGTGAAAACAGTAAATGTAAGTAAAGTGATTCTTGGTGTAGATCAGTGAGAAATCTACAGCGATCTGGTTTTTCCTTTACATTTCAGAGTCTTGTACCTTTACTCTTAACCTAAACAGAAATAATTACACTTTCTGCTTCTACTACTAGTTGACAGTCCACTGGAAAAATTAAACAGAAGTATATCAGCAGTATTTTTCAGAGATAAAAGTACTTCAGTGCAGCCAGACTTACGTAGCTCAGTAGCAGCAGCAGCACAGAAGAGCCCTGCATGGCTTCTGGTAACATCCGGACTCCTCAGTCTGAACTGTGTGCCAGCGCTCCGGTCTGCCTGATAAACACCAGAGGATGCACCCCCCCCCTGGAGGCCCGAGCCAAGCACTGGCCCGGCTGTCCGTTTGTTTGAGGCTGTGGTCATTTGTTTGATAAAATCGAGGAACCAAACGAGACAGCTGAAGGCTCAGCATGAGAGAGATGTCTCATTTAAACATTGTGGCAGCACAAAATCACATGAACATATCCATCTGCTGGTGGACGCCAGTGTCTTTGATCTTCAGCAAGCTAGCAAGTGCCTCAGATCTCACAGTGTGAACAATGACAGACACTCGGGGGTGTTTTCGTCTAAGCTTGCTGCTGCACAGAAGGTGTAAGTCCTTTGTTTCTCATGTGGCAGAGACTGTCTGAGGTGAGACTTCACAGACAACACCACTGCACTGCGTTGGGCTTGGGATGAAGAATAAGACGACTACCTGGAGAATCACAGATTCACAAGCATAAGTGAGACCAGTGTTAAAAATTTACATTTTCTCTGCCATAAAGTTTATTTTTGGACACAAAAAGTAACAAAGACGACTTTTCTGTCATGCAATCGACCTATATGACCCCAGTCTGCCTAATTCACCATTGAACTTCACACTGATGCAACACCCCCATTCCCCCCACCTCAGTCTTCTTTGTCCAGGGTCAGAGGGGGAGGACTGTGGCCCAGGTGAGGAATGTGACATAAGGATAAAAAAGTGAGGGGCTGCTGCCTCAGAAGGGGATTTGTGACCACGGTTTGGGATTACAGTAAAGAGTATGTGGTGACGGAAAGCTCCTCCCAGCAGGATCAAGTTCAAAGTGTTGATCTGAGGTAACAGTCCAAGTACAGGATGAATTTTGGGAGGGACTGGAGCCTATCCAAGCTACCATAGGACGAGAGGTGGGGTACACCTGAGGCAGATCACCAATCTGAGGGCCAGCACAGACAGAAAGGCATCCCTCACACTTGCATTCACGCCTACAGCAATTTATAATCACCAGTCATCGAACCCGTCTAACGGCATGTGTGTGGGAGAAAGCTGCAGCGCCCGGAGAGAACCTACACAGACCCAGGACCGTGCTCCCCGATCCGTGCGACACGTGACGTGCTGCATGCATGCAGTCAATGCACACGCACAGTTTCCAGAAGAGTCCACAGATTTTAAGTCCATGGTTGTGACATCATAGTGAAACTAAACAGTGTCCTCACAGAGAGCTGCATCACGTGTTGATGTCAAGTATATCACAAAGCTGTCAGATTCACAGGGCATTAGTACTCGGTATGGAAACATTCAAGGTCAAGTTAAAGACCTTTGAGCTAAATCCTTGCAAGCTGCACATCATGGAAAATGAATCCATCCTAGATAAACAAGCCCACTGCAGTCAGGTATGACCTTGCGAAGTCTCTTCCGAGAACATGCGTAATCTGTTTATCTACTGAAGACGACAGCCTCTACTTAGTTTGCATGTTAATTTGTGAGTAGTTTTGTTCCATTAATGGGTTTCTGCCTCAGAGAAAACAAACAGTAGCTTATTACAGCTAAGCCAATTACTTTTCAGACTGACTGATGCGGTGATGCAAACAAAGGTTTTGCCCAGCAAAGGTAGTCCCAGTTAGATGTTTATTTTTTAAAAACACCACAAAACTTTATACCTGGAAGAAAATGTGTTTAACAAGTTTCTGTGTTGCATTTCACTGGTAATATTTACAGAAGGCTGAATGCAGCATCTAATATCCTCTGTAATAAGTGCTGACTGCTGGTCCAGGAGCAGCAGTATGTTCACCTCGGCAGACGTTTGATGGATTATTGATAAGGTGTCTGAATATCCAGCTCCCAGAATATGCGATGATAGAGCAGCAAATATGTTTTATACAACTAATATACAGCGAATGACTCACAAACCTACAGTGAACATAAAAATCAACCTTGATGAGGCTATAAAGGCTGATTTTAGTGAAACTATAAACTGGATGTGATGACTGTGTGAGGAGACTGACTGATGGCTGTTGAGTTGTGGGTCCGAGTCTGCTCACAAAACAAACTCGACCTCTCACCTCCGTCACTTAAAAGCCCCAGCCTGCTTAATCCTTCACACGTATTTATTTTGGGAATATATGTGAACAACAAAATAGAAACACAAAAAACAGCGTGGGTATTGAAAAAGGGAAATTTCAGGCCAAATCTGGATTTTATGAATGTGTTACTGGCGTAGATGATTCCCAACAAGACGGGTCAGTCGAGCTTCCAACTCGTGTATTTTGTTCATTGCACTTTCATGCTCTCTTACAAGAATTGCAGGTGTTTCACCTCCATTTAATAACAGTGATGGAAAAAAGGCATAACGAGAAAGTCAAAGGGTCGTGCATCCAAACCCAGTGGCCCCAGCTGTCTACTGGATTTAAACCAGCTTCTTCTTGCTGTGAGGCAACAGTGCTAACCACTGCTCGACAGAAATGGGCAGTAACGCGTTACCTGTAACGTTAACGAGTAAAGTAAGGGATTACTATTGCAAAAACGGTAATTAGATTACCGTTACTTTCCCGTAGGAACGCTGCGTTACTGCGTTACTAAAACCGTGATTTTTTGCGAGAATGTCTCAGACAGTGACGTAAGCGAGTGCGACGTTCGTGACAACAGCTGTGTGCAGATCAACAATGGATCACATATCGAGTGCAGAGAGAGTATGAGCGTGCAGCGTTTAAAGCGTGGAAGTACTGACCTTACTTTGAGTTTGATTCCATAAAAAGTGACAAAAACATAGTGTCCGCTGTGCGTGGGAAGAAAACTTCTTTTTACAGCGAAAAAACCCCTAAACTTCCAACAAGCACCGAGTAGCTACGACGTAATGGGAAACTCACAGAGAAACTCGCGGATTCTTCCACTGACCGCGGCACACCTGCACCAGGGTAAACCTCCGCCTACCCCACTCCTGCTTTACAGGTGAAAATAGAGCAACAGGACCGCTGAGTCTTTGACTTTATTTATTTTCTGCTGTGTTTTACTTGCATCTATTTGAAAGACTGAGTGTAAACACAAAAAATATTTTATTTTATGTGCTGGAATGTGCAGAAAATAGGTTTAAATGTTAAACTAATTTCTTCCAGTCAGAGAATGTTGCAGATAATTAAATGTTTGCTTGATGCATAAAGTTAAAAGATTAAAACTAATAAAACAAGTTTTAAAAAGAGACTTTTCCATTTGATTACATTTTGTATGATGGATTATGCAGAAAAAGTAGAATTGGGCTGAAAGATCTATCGCTTTATCACCTCTTCAGGTTGTAAATCGTGTTTTTAAAAAGTAACTAAGTAATTAATTACTTTTGAAAATAAGTAATCAGTAAAGTAACGGGATTACTTTTTGGGGGAAGTAATCGGTAATTAGTTACTGATTACTTTTTTCAAGTAACTTGACCAACACTGGTGCTCGATTTGGTTGCACGCAGCCAAATTCTTGGCAGTGACATCACTCAGTGAAGAAAAGTCAGGTGACCTCTTTTTAATTGTCCTTTGTGAAGCTCGTAGACAGGCATCATGAATAAAATAAAAATGTAAAGATTGCAATAAATTAAACATGGATTTATTTTGTACAGTTTATACTACATATTTACCAGAAAGCTTCTCTATCTAAGAAATCCAGGCTTGACAGGGAACTCTTTGGGTGAGTTTTCCCCAGGCACAGATTAGGCTCTTCTGTACAGACAGTAAGGTGAAGTCCTAGGCTGCACTGTACATGCTAAGCATGGCCTCATATACTACAGGTAATCTAACTGGTACACTGTATAACTCAAGTCTTGCAGTCAGCACACTTCAAAGGTGGTGTTGTTGCTAAATGACACCGTCTCTTCATCGCGACTTTACGTTCAGGTCGTCAGCGGGTGACTTTGACCCCTCAGATATATCCCGTTTTCACATTTCAAACTCAACATATTATAACAACACAACAACACGTGATATAAATATACATCTCATTTAGAGGGAACGACAAATCATCTATAATTTTGAAATGTTGCAGAGGGAATGCCGGGAATAAACATTTCTCTGCTTTGCTCTGTTTCATAATCACATTGTTGGCAAAATGAATCTCAGTTAACATCATGGGCACACTAAAACAAAAAGTAATCAGGTGTCTTTAAGACACGGCTCTCTCACCCATCTCTCGTTATCGCTGTCACCGTGATCATGCATGTGGAAATTACTAGAACTCTGAAGCTCGGAAAATACTGAAAAGCCTGCTTTTTGTTTGTTTTTTACTGACAGAAAGTGATGCGGTGGGAGCACAGAGACTAACCAAACAGTAGCTTTGATTGCTCTTTTGTTGAAGCATCCATGTTGCATCACATGTATGAAAGACATCAAATTCCCATCACTTCTGTCATTACACGAAAGAAGGCAACACGCCCTGAAGAGGACGCATCCCCGGCTCTATGTACAGGAGGAACATGGCTTTTGTCACATCTCTAACGCATCAGCAGTCGTTATTCAGCACAGACATGTGGAAACTGAACATCCATTTGGCTTCATGTAGTAACAACACCCAGGCTATCTGTCCTACGGATGGCTGTCCTCGTGCCAAGGATTTTGTGGTCCACAAACGGAGCAGATGGACACGATAGGATCTGTTCAGTTCTTACGTTAGTCATGATCTTACTATGTTGACTGACCCGTAGGGTAAAGAGTCACTTAAAGTCCTTCAGATTTCATCGGAGATCCCGAGTGAGTGTTTTTCTGCAGAGGATTTCAGAATTCAATGGTCTGGTATCCTGAGACAAAACCTCTCTTACTGTGTGATCTGCTCATCATTTGCACACACACAGCCCTGGACTATACTCCACCTTGATATACTGTTGCTTTGACATTGTGGCAAAAAAAATAACTCTGTTACAGCTGTTCAGTTCACTAAACATCTGGTACTTGATTTTCTGTATTGATTGATTAATGCCCATGAATCTTGTGGATAATCTGCTGTAAACAGGAACTGTTGGGAATGGCTGGCTGCCCGTTATAAACTTGCTAAAAACATCTTTTTGTTTCAATGCACAACAATGCACAGACTAACAGCGACCTCCCCAAATGACCTGAACATGAAACTAAAATACATTCATCTTATTACATGTTTACATGCTACCTCAAGCTTCACTTACAGAAAATGCACTTAAATCAGTGTCTTGGATTCAGCTAGAAGATTTCCACATCTCACCATATTTTGTTCAAATAACACTCAAACACAAAGTTGCGTGGGAAGGCTTGGCAACATGTGGGTTTGCCCGCAGTGAGCTACTAATGGTATTTTCAGTCTCTGCTGTTTTCGTGATTTGGCAAAAAAAATCTCTTTTAAGAGCGCACACACAGAAATTCACATCCGTGTGCACACATGTAGTCTCCTCCAGCTACAACAAACGGACACGAGGACACATGCAGACAGACACCAGCATCCAGATAAACAGCAGTGGGACTGAGTCCTGCTCGTAATGCTACTGGCGCTGAGAACATCGGGTTCTCGGGGCCGCTGTGGAGCTAAAGCGTTGTGGTGCCGCGTGGGCTGTTCTGAGGTGCCCTGTGCATCCTCTTCATCGTTCTCTCTGATTTTTGTTGTTTTTAGCAGCGATCATCCTCGTCTGTGTCGCTTAAGAGCTCGCTGGCGCCAGCTGGACTTGTCTGGCCCAAGTGCTTTCGGAAATGCCCATTAGGGACCTGCCAGGAGTGTCTGAGCTGAGGAGCCGAGCTTATGGCATTGGCCCGACCCAGGCTGGTGGCCACGGCAGTCTCAAAGGTAAGCGTCTCCTGCTTCTCACTTGCTTCGCCACTGCTTAGGTCCTCGTGGAACGGGAGGTAGGGCTCCGATATGTAACGATGAGGAGAGGGGTGGCTCGGTCCTGAAACGTGAACTCCGGATGACCCCTGGACTGCAGATAAAGGCCTGCTCTCCTTGTCAACCCTCAGTGAGGCCTCTGTGGGGCCAGCAGGAGTGTCCAGAGGCTGGCTCTGTCCCTCATTTGAGGCTGCGGCTGCTGCTGTTGTGGAAGAGGTTTGGGTTCGGCAGACGAGAGGAGAGTAGGAGATGTAAGGCCGTGGGCGAGAGGGAGTCTGGGGCAACTGGCGGCGATTACGAGGAGTACCAGACTCTGAGGCTGAGTGGGCAGGGCTGTCTGATGTGTTCACCTGCAAATAAATCAAGCACAATATTGAGTAAAAGACTTTGCCAGAGAAGGACTGTTGGTTCTCATCCAGCAGTAGAAAACAGATCCTGATCCTATTATATGACAGATCTGCACAGTGGCCGGGTCAGGAAAGACTGAAGCACCTGTTTCTGTAAGGTCTGTGTGCGTCCTTCGCTAGGTGAGCGGGACCTTCTCCTTTCGCACGAAGGGTCTCGACTCCGCTCCTCGGAGTTGCAGCGCGACACATCAGGGGACAGCAGGTGGCGGCGCTCCTTGGATCGCCCTCTCTCGTGACTGATTGTTTCTTTGTGGTTGATTCTAGGACCTGAGAGAACCAGATTAAAGTGCCTTTGAGTCTGTGGCACCAAGACTTTGCAACAGTCTCCACCTGCATTCAGCCTACGTACATCTATCATGCATGCCCCCTCCCCCCCACTGTCACTGCAGGGCTGTGTTCTCAGCTGTAGACCCTGTACACACAAGACTGTACACCAACACACCCCACCAACGTCTCATCTCTGATGGAGATGATGAGACAGGGTACAGGGCCGAGGTGGTGCTCAGAGAAAACCTGAAGCTTAACATCCTTAAAACAAAAGAACTCATAATGGACTTCAGGAGGCACAGACAGGTCCTCTGATTGCCATAAATGGAGAATGGGTGGAATCTGTCTCCACCTTCAGGTATCTGGGCACCCACGCCCTGGTAAAGAAGGCCCAGCAGCGACTGCACTTCCTTCACCCAGACCGGGAGCTGCTGCTTCCCTTCTACTACTCCTCAGTGGAGAGCAAGCTCTCCGACTGCCTGGGTGTTGGCAGTGAATATGGCAAATATAGAGATTATATAAATCAGGCATGGAATCAGGATTTTTTTCACTGAGTAACTTATTGAAACAAAGATGTAAACAGAAGAAGAAATGTCAGAAATTCTTTCAGCCTCTAACGAGATGTGGCTGTCGTTTAAGAAGAATTATTTACATATACATTTTATTGCTTTTGTGTTGTATTGCAGTACAAATATTTGCTCAAAATCACTCAGCGAAATATAAAGAATGAGAGGTGGCTCAAGACTTTTGCACAATAGTCTTCTTTTGACCAGTTTCCCCCCAAAACTTTACTCTGAGTCAGAATCAAACCACAGCAGCTGCTTCACGGTTGTAATTATGACCTCTGTAGCTCCTCTGTCGGGGCCTGTATGTGGCATCAGGGCTGATCCTCTCCAGAGAGTGCTGTTCCTGCCAGAGACCGTTCACACACTGGTCTCCGATGGTAGAGAAGGAGCGCTTCATCAGCCTACTGTCTGCAGACATCCCAGGCTATATACATGCAAAACAACCAGAA